AGCAAGGGTAACTGGCTGTGGAGATCTTCGCGAATTCCTAAGGAGCACAGGAACCTCAGGCTCCTCTAGGGCAGTACTCAGCTAACTGTTCTTCCAGCCTGCAGTTTATGTGCTCACATAGTAAACTTCACCCTTTCCTGCTCACAGCTATGGGAGGCATTGGACGGCTTGGGATGCGGGGTGCCTTTTTATTCGCTTCTTTTTCAAATGTTTCCTCTCAAAAAGTGTGTCATCACTTTGCCCTGAAGAAGGGCCTTCTAAACGGACAGTGGTGGCTCACGCCTTTAATCCCAGCACTCAGGAGGCAGAGCCAGGCGGATCTCTGTGAGATGGAGGCCAGCCTGCTCTGCAGAGCAAGATCCAGGACAGGCACCAAAGCTACACATACACAGAGAAGCCCTGTCTCAAAAAAAAAAAAAAAAAAAGCCTTCTTCTCCCTGAAAACCCATTTTGTTTGCCTCTTAGTTTTGTGGAACTGTGAACAGAACCTGGGGCTTTGCTCCTGGTAGATGAACACTCTGCCACTCAGTTTTATTTATTGATTACAGACAGGGTTAACTTTTCCAGACTGGCTCTGCAGCGCAGATCACACTGTTTTAGGTAGAGTCTTCCTATGTAGTGTACCTCAGACTCCCAGGTCTTAGAACTGCAGGCACAGGCCGCTAACCTGGCTTCCTGGGGTGGGGCTGGAGGTGGGGTTTATTCTCACGGTTGCTCCTCCCCTTCAGTGATGCTGACAGCTGGGGACAGCAGTTTGCAATCGGCCTTCGGGACTCTTAGATCTCCCTCTTTCCAGCTGCAGCTCTGAACTTTACAAATACTCAAGAGCATGGAGAAGACACTGGAGTCTGTCTTTTTCAAGCTAAAAAGGACCTTAAGAATAACTCAAGTAAAAGATGAAGGGAGTTATGAGACTTACTCTAGACCTCTAATCTCTTAATTGCATATTTTATCATTAAAATATAGAGCATTATGCCGGGCGTTGGTGGCGCACGCCTTTAATCAGGCGGAGGCAGGCGGATCTCTGAGAGTTCGAGGCCAGCCTGGGCTACCAAGTGAGCTCCAGGAAAGGCGCAAAGCTAGAAACCCTGTCTCGAAAAACCAAAAAATAAATAAATAAATAAATAAATAAATAAATAAATAAATAAATAAATAAATAAATAAAATATAGAGCATTAATTTAACTGAAATTCGCTACTCAAAAATAACTCTCTTTCCCAAATATTTAGAATACTACTTTTAAATACAAAGGGAATAATATATTTTTAAAATTAAAATTAGTTTCCTTAGTAATTTCAAACTTACATATAAAAATGATTCTCCTGAAATAGGGATCAAATATGAAGACATGTAAATATGATATGAATGCAAAGAACAGATCTAGTTATAATCTAAATGCTAACTGCAAATCTCAAGCTTCCTGAAACCATTCATTTGGTCTTCAGACCTTTCAAGTGAAAACAGAAAATATTATACATAACATTTAAGAAATAATACTTTCCTCACAATATCAGAAGAGAAACTATAAAAGTACAAATAACAAGCTTATTAAAAATGTCATGGATCTTAAACTACTCTGAAAGCTCGGGCAAGGCGCGTGCCTCAGTGACAGAGCAACTGGCGGCGGCATGCACAAGGCCCTGGGTTAACTCCTCAGCGCTGCAAAAAAGCAGATCACCAGAGCACAGAAGAGCAAGGCACACTGCACAGCTGGTTTGGAGGCTCACATCTGTACTAGAGAGGCCGGGGACTCACATCTGTACTAGAGAGGCTGAGTCAGGTAAACTGTGGATACACAGGAAGTTTAGGTCCTGCCTGGGCTACAGGGTGCTACTATTTAATAATAGTGATAATAATAACAAAAGTAAAAGACTATCTGCAAAACAATGGTTTTCTAGAAAAAAATCACTAACTTAAAAAGATTCTAAAACATTTATATTAACATCATTTTCTTCAAATAACAGATGCTCCAAGGAAATGTCCAAATCTGTGTGAACATAAAAGCAAAATTTTTACCAAACAACACTAAGATGATGAATTTAACTCTAGAGATAAGCTTATATACAAGTAAAAATAATGCCTGTCTTGTACCTTATCACAAGAAATGACAAAGATTTTTGTATGTGTATACATACATACAAACACACATATATACATACATACATATACATGTGCATGAGTGCACATGTGTGTTGTATATACATATATGCATGTATGTGCATGTGTGTGCATGTGAGTTGTGTGTAAAACCAAGGAAGCTCCTTTCTGTGACTTAGTAGTTGTGCAGCTGTGAGAATATTACCTCTTCTGGTCTCAGTTTCCCCATATAAAATATGAAGAACTGTTCAAAAGATTAAATGAACTCACATGGAATAAAATCTTATACACTATGATCAATAGTAACACTTTTTTAACGATCAAGTAATAGAGATGAATCACAGACTACTGTGGAAAGAACATCCAATCTCGATCTAAAATCAGAGGCAATTAAAAACACAGAAGGTCCAAACTGTCTTAGCTCGTACAGGACTTGGAGGTATTTGTGCAGACAAGACCACAGCACACACACAAATCTCAAGATATACGAATAGAGTGCAGAAGGGGAACCAAAACAAGATAATTTCAGATTTGAGTTGTATCTTTTTCGAATCGGAAATACAGTCCAGTGTGGAGAAGAGCAAGACAGTGACCGCCCAGACGCGAGTCAGACACATGTTCTGTGATGGCTGATCAGTAGAGTGTAGTCACAGAGTGAGGGGTCTGGAGTCAGACGCACACTGACCGTGTGGTTATTACTTAAAATCTTTATCCTGTATATTTCCATTGTTTAATGGAGATATAATGACAACCACCTTGTCAGGAAGTCAGAACTAAGTAAGATAATACAAGTCCCTATTTGAACCAATAAATTTTTACATAAGAAATACTCTCTCTATAGTCTTGGCTAAAATAGTGAAGACTCCGTGATCATATATTAAAGATAATACTTTCCCATTTAGCCAATCCATATTTTAGCCCCAAAGGAATGTAAATTATTGATTCTTCTTGAAGTTGTAATTTGTTAATAAACAAAATTTTGTCATTGGGTCAAAACAATTGTGTTCTTGGAAGAAACAAAACCATTTTTGTTTTTGGTCTGCTGAGCTACTCTGTGCTTCTCACATGGCAGTAATGACTCATTTGGTTCTCTCACTAACCTAGTGTCTGGCTCAGAATCTTAAACATGGTTGCTACTTCATGAACTAGTTAAAGGCAATCAATAAAGCCGAACTAACTTATTTTCAGGTGGGTCATTTGACCAAGAAAGTTTGAAATTTCAATTATTGATGACAAAACATTTAATTCTATACTTTGAGGCACAGTCCAATAGTGTGGTGGTTGAACACAAGTGTCATAAACACACACACACACACACACACACACACACACACACACACACACACACACACACACATCTGTATGTGAATCCTCAGTGTGAATATGAATCTTGACTGGATACAAATAATCCAGAGTGAGTTAATGTAAGTTTATTTTTGAATGTAAAATTGGAATAAGAGAGACTGGCTACCCTCAGCACAGCGCCTAACTTACGGAAAGCACCCATTTGAACGTGGTTACTGTGAGAGCTCAGGAAACAGTGTTTGAGAAGGATCAACGCAATGAGGTTTGTGGGAGTATTTCCAACCCAGTGTTAAAGTGGGCTTACATACTTTGCCTCTATAGTAGCCTAAGACGCATTAGCAATTTATAAGTATTTTCAACTGGATGATCTTATCTTCTATTATAAGCTGTATTTAGCCCAGAGAAAACTTTTGTACATAAAACACTTTATAAGTAGACAGGATTTTTAAAAATATATACAATATTTTTAGAAAGCAAGCACAGGCATGAAACACATTTCAAAATTATGTGTTCACAATTAAGATGAAAGTATATTTGCTTGGGGCAGACTGACAGTGTTGTTGAATTAGATGACCATACCGTCACTGTCATCCCCATAAGTGACTGACTATCTGTTACACAGTGTGAGTTAGTATCCAAAGAAAAAACTGGAATTTCGGAAAAATATTAACTTACTTGAAAATGCATCAATCACATTAATTTGGTCTTCTGGTATTTTATTAACAAAGGTAAGTAAAATATATAGTAAAATAGAAAATATCAACTGATACATAACTAATTCAGCAATGGGTAATCTTTAAATACTTAAATGATAAATAGTTCAGGAATTCATTTACAAATTGAAATTCCTTAGTGTTTCATGACTGATAATAAAACAATCATATTTTTATTTTTATTTTTTCCCATTGGTGGAAAATCAAAATCATAACAAGAAAGTTTATTATAGTGTTATTTTTTTATTCTTTAATATTTGAATAAAATTAGGAATTTTAAGTCATATTTTATTATATATATTAAAATATAAAATATAGATTTTGAAATGATTTGTAAAGTGCTATACCTTCTAAGCAATGAAAAAATATTTTATGACTAATATTTATAATTTATATTTACTAGAATTGTCTGACTAAAAAGTAATTTTTTGATTTCTAATTTTAGTTAATGTAAATTCAAACCAACTTTCAACAACTCCTCTTAAGTAATACTGTTTTGACTTTGGAAGATTTATAATACAGTAAAGTTAGTGCTCTTCTATTGTACATATATTTGCACATATATTTATATTTGCATGCAGAGACATGAGTTTCTTTTAGCTAATATTTGATCATTTATTTTATGCATTCCAGAAAAATAAAACTTCATTTTTATATGACTTCCAATTTCAGTGTCACTAATGATTTAACAAGAGAAGAAACACTTCCTTGACTACACTCACAGAAACAGCAATGCACGAGCACAAAGCTCATTTCTGCTCATTTCTTTTCTGGTTGATTTTGAAACTTGCAATGGGATTTAACCATATACCAACAACAGAGAAGCCAGAAAAGTGAAGCTGTAAAGGCTGAAGTGAAACCAAACAGAACGTAGATGTCACTAACCCAAAGCGTGCACTGTTCCTCTGTGCTTGCCGGCGCTCTTGCTTCCTTTAACTATAGGAACAGCATTTTCTTTGAACTGCAGCTCACAAAAATTTTCAAGAATTTTTGCCATTTCTTCTGTAACTGCATCCAGGTAAGTTTCTCTAATGAATTGCACCACTGAGGAAGGAGCTAAAATTTCACGCAGGATGTTAAAATCCTCTTTTATCAGTGAATGTAACGTGAGCATTGTACTTTGGTATCCATGAGCAATTACTTCTAAATCTGAATCTCTGTTGCAGGAAGGGAAGGAGTTTTGCAGAAATTTAGTCAGCAGTCTCTTCTGTATGCTTTGGTACTTGACAAGCACTTCTGATTCTGGGTAGAGCAGGAGGAGTTGCTGCATACATTGACTTTTCAGTTTAATTCTTGGCTGTGAGTTGTTTATCTCATTATGGCCTTCTAACCTGTTCACTAGGAAGCGTCGAAGATGTAATCTTACATCATCCCAAATAAACTTTACATCCACAGAGGAATAATCTTCAACAGAATGCAGACATGTCCTGGAGAGGAAACAGAAGGAGGTCCCTCCTAGGGGCGACAGGAATGAGATGCTTCTCTGACAGGAGAGGTCCCAGAGTAAATCCAGGATCATTTCTTCTTGATTTTCTTCATTATTCAATAAATCTTGCTGATAAAAGTAAATCACAACATTAGACATGTAATTAAATCTAAGAAAAACAAAAATTATTTCTAAACACACAATTTCATAAATGACTAAAATTTAGAATGGCTGTCCTATACTCCGCAACACATTTTTGTATTGCACTGGGGATTTAATCAATGCTGGCAGTATAGAACGAGTCAACTTCTACAGACTGAATTTTGCAAAGTCCAGCTGATTGATTGTCTGTTCAGTTATGCTTCTGTACATGTATCTTTCAGCCCTCACTAGTCTCTGTAACCTGAGCTGTAGCAAAGCTGAAACTTATTTCTAGATACAGAGCTGTTAGAGAAAACAATGAGTTCCTAAGACAAAATAAAATCAAGATCATGCCCTAATTAATCCCTGGAAGGGAATTTTTATGCCTGAGTGAATATACTTACTATAAAACCTCAAACAAAATACAATCCTTAAGATAATTCTAGAAAAGAAATCATTAAATATAGTCGGTACCTAGGGGTTACTAATAGCTGCCATCCTGAGAAATAAAATGTAATACATTGGAAGATTTCAACTTTCATTTAAATTCATTGCTGAGAACCATGTTAAGAAAGATTTTTACTTTAAAAATTAATCTGAGAATATTTCTGTTCTCTCCAAAGAAATAACTAACTCAAAATGGGATAAAGAAATCTTAAGAAAGGCTCCCCAAAAGATGTTAGGGAATTATTCCTTTAATCTTTCTGTGTTGGTAGGAAACAATGGTGGGAGTAATTGGGAATAATAAAAGAACAAAAAAATTACTTTCTTCTTGGACTCTGAATTGCACACACATTCTCCATACATGATGACTTGCCTAATTATATCCCTTTCAGCCAATACTGAAATTAGTTCATATTCTGTAAGTAGAAACAAGATGATTAGAAAAGAAATGGAAGCAAGGCTCCAGTGGCATAAAATTAGTCTGGCTTTGAGATTTCTTATTGATAAAGATACCACAGGTATTATGTATAATTCAGAGTTAAACAACTAGACAAATTCCTGGAATTGGCCCTTAGTCACTCTAAGTACTGCAATGCACATTTAATGTGCAATTTTAATAATTACAGCAAGTATCTATATTTTATTATAGAAAAAGCATTTCCCATATATTCTCCAGTTTATTCACAAGGAAATCTCTGTGATGCTGATATTTGAAAACCCTAAAAGCCTAATTTCTGGATAAGGGTATCTGATGTGATACATGCTAAAATGACTTCTCAAACTTCATATGTGAGTTCTGGAGTGAGGGACACCACTATGCATATAAACATGGCTTCATCCTCTCCACATGAGCATTCTGCACATCTCTCACATCTCGTACAGTTTAATTCTTTGCATATTTCTAGAAAGGAAATGTTCTCACTGAGTCTCGGACCCAGCAGCACTAAGGCAATTCAATGAATCAGATGTGTTATATAAGCCAGCTAATAGTCGTAAATATTTGATCAAACAAAAACCAATAGACTACAGAGGTTCAAACCATGTGTTTGTATGATTATTTAAAATTTGAAAATAGCATCAGTATAACTATCATACTAAGAACCAGTTTCATAGCTAATTAATAACTTTTTCTAAAAAATAGATATATAAAAATGCCATCGAGATTGACACAATTAGCATGTAAAAACTGACTTATTTTATTCAAATTATTTAATTTGAATCTGTTTTGATAACAATATTATTTCCTCAAAAATAATTATGTGAAAAACAAAACAAAACATGAGTCTGAGGAGAACTAAGGTGGCCTTTGCTTTGCAGTGAATAGACAATGAGTTGTGTCTGACAGATTAGAAGATAATTGAAATCCTTTGCTTTTAATTAAATGAGAAAGCATTATTACATCAACATTGGTGAAATACAATACACATGGCTCCTAACAGAAGAAATTAAAGGAATAACTGCATCCATATTTATTCTTCAAGGCTCCACCTTCAAGAGATAATGGGTGAGAGGAATTTCTTAAAAGGTTAAGGCTTCAGGGCATATAGTCTTCCTTTATCTTCCTTGTATTACTTCATGAGCATGAAAGAGACAACTATAATAACAGCAACAGACAAAAACTATTCCATCTGATTCTGTCATCCTAAACCACCTAAACCTCAAGATATTTTCCACATTTGGTCAATGTGTTTGATGTTTGGACAAAAACAGTCCTTTTCTCTCTACTAAATTAAATTAAAACCATAGCTAAAGAAATTCTGCTTCCTAAAAATTGTGCTGTTTCTTTGAGAATCTCTTTTTGTAACCTAGCCACCCCTGTAGATGTGGGTATAATAATAACTATTCTCGTTGAAGATTAACAAAAAATTCCTCTCAAGTAGGCGGCTAGCAATAAAGAAGGACCACCAATTAACAGCAGTCATGCGTACATTTCTGCTTCCACTGAAAGAAAACAAAACCAAACAAAACTGGGTATTATTGTAAGTTCCAAATGCAGGGAATGAGAAATAAGGCCACTTAATAGATACAACCAAGGGGCTAGTACTGTCTTTGGTTCTGAGCACAGAGAAAATTAGCATTGGGAAAGAACAGAAAATCTAACGATATGAACTCCTTTGGAGACAACTGTGGATTGTATCAGTGTGCTCTGCATTAACACGCTGCAGAGCACATGATAAGTCACCCAGAAAGGAGGACATTTAACTTCCATTTCCATACAATTTACTTTGGTGCTACAAGTAATTTTAAAAATATGTCATAGAAATTGATGGGGGAAGAAACAGAATCAACAAAAATAACAAGAAGACAAAAACATACCCCAAAACTAAACCCCTACATAAGACAGGATAATATTACCAATACAATTAATATTAACATACTGTAATTCAACCAGTTCTATTCCCTGCTCCCCACCCTACCATAAAACAAGTGATTTTTACCATTATTTTCAGGAATTTTATCAAATCTCCATGGGAAATGGATGGTGACTTAGATGAATTATAATTATAGTTAGTTAGCCATGTGAAGCAGTCCGCTGTTGTTTGCAGCTGCACATCTGGACAGAGTTTGTTTACTTCAGACTGTATTTCTTCAATGCAATGCTCTATGCTACAAAGAAGAAAAATAATTATTTGGTAGGATGCAGGCAATGCCATCTCACAATATTATCGGTACTTAAATGTTTACATGTTATGTGACTGTATATAGTCTATACTTTATAGAATATCCACATGATATTAAAATAGCAAGAAATGGGTTATTCATTTTCATTCATAGTTGGAAACAGTTCAAATTTTTATAGTAATACTGTAATTGGAGAAATATCAAATATCCAACTCCTTGGAGAGGAAACAGAAGTTCCTTTGCATTAAAATACACATGAGGCACAGATGTAATGCTTTAATGGCACTGTTGATTAGCAAATAGAAGCAGAGAATACACCTGATGGCTGTGAAAATCAGAACCATACATTATATGCCAAAAGGCATAAATGACGGTATGTGAAAGACTTCAATCAATGGAAGAGTAAAAAGTCAAGAAGCAATTACAGAAAGCTTGGAATTTGTAACACCATATACAGAGTATTAGTACAGCTAAACACTTCTGTTGACATCCAGTTTATTCTAAAACAAAATATATAAAAACTGTACATAAAAAGGATGGACGAAAAGAAAACAAATGTTAATAGTAATGATATATGTGTGATGATTGGATGAAGTTTAAATTTTACTTTTTCTCTATTTCTAAATGTTTATATAGCCAAAGATGAGCCCAATTTACAAAAAAGTTTTCAAAAGATACAATTAAGTTTAAGATATGTATCTGTTTTAAAATTTGTATTCATAAATGTAATTAATATCTCTATATAATTTTTGTGTCTATGTTTATAAATCCTCTATGGGGCAAACTGGTGACCCCAAAGATCTCGGCATGTCTAAAGCACAAGAACAGGAATGTTTATAGAAACAGGTAACTTTGACATAGAATTTACCCAAATCTGACAGTTACGCAATTTTCTCTTAACACTATCAAGGAAGATTTGTTAGTAAAAGATAAAGTTACTACTTTGAAAGTGATAATTAATAATTAAATAATAATCAAATAACTAATAATTAGAAAGTAATAATTAATTGTTATTAATTACAGGTTTCACGGGATAGGACTATATGGAGTTTAGAGGCCAAGTTCTGTTTATTAAAACTGATGTTCACATCCCTGAAATTTATTAGGTGTGGGTTGCCAGAGTGAAGCTTTCCAGGAGACTTCTGAACATGAGTGAATTTAAATGATGTTATCTTGAAAAAAATAAATTCTGGAAATCAAAGAGCCTTTTCATGAAAACAAAGAACTTTTAACAATACCTCCTCTGGCCACAGCTGCTGACTTTCCTGAAGGGTTGGTCTTACTCAGAAATGCCAGTTAAGGGTCAGACAAGAGACTGACATGCATTTTCTTTCTTATTTAAGCTTTTCTATGGACTGAGAAACACGATGCCCTAGGCATACATCTCAACGCTAGATACCCTTTATCAAAAGTTTGCATTATAGCATCCTCATGTAGCATGAATCTTCAATGGTCTTATTAATAAAAACAAACTCAGGGCCAGGTATTGGGGTGAATGCTGGAAGATCAGAGAGACAGAACAGGCCACAGCCACCTCACCTAGCAAATTCCTCAGCTGATCCTGTTTGCTCAGACTGGAAGCCTCTCAGTCCTCATCCAGAATGAATCTCAGCTGAACTGTGCTGCTCAAAGTCTAAAAGCTTAACCAAGGCTAAAAGCTTCTAGTTTCTGGTCCTCATGCCTTATATACCTTTCTGCCTCCGGCCATCACTTCCTGGGATTAAAGGCGTGAGTCTCCATGCTTGGCTGTTTCCAGTGTGGCCTTGAACTCACAGCGATCTATGCCTCCAGAAGGCTAGGATTAAAGGTGTTAGTGCCACCATTTTCTAGCCTCTGTATCTAGTGGCTGTTCTGTTCTCTGACCCCAGATAAGTTTATTAGGGTGCACAATATTTTGGGGAACACAATACCACAACATCCTCACATGCTTCATTCAGTGAAACCTAATAGAGCGAGTCACTTGAATGGGAAGGATTCAGCAACCATTCTCAGTTTCGGTCAGCGCTAGCCCTCTCAGCTTATCTCCAACATTTGAATCTCAGCAGAGGTCAGGAACTCTGCTTCTAAGAGTGTGAAGCCTCCAGAGTGTTGGATACTTCACTAATTTGTCCAAACACTGATAAAGGGATTAAGCAGTTGCATTGCAGGGACCTCCCTCAGGACTAGGCACCAAAGCAGTTGCACATCCTTTCCCTGGATTTTGTTTTCAGTGGCCTATAAAATATCTTGTCAATCTGTCATTCACAGACCATGTATGCATCTTGTTTTAAAAACTCAATTATTTGATTTCATGTCACATTATTATATAAAAGGCTGCTTCCAAGATTTCAGTTCCCAACCGAGTATGTCATCTTACCTAACAAATCATCTTCTTTAATTGAGGTCAAAATTAAACAAAAAATTAACTTTATACATTTTAAAGGTAGGATTTTCAACGATTGTATTTCAAATATTTTCATGTATGTGTAATAATCCTGTCAATAGATCTTAGTCTAAGTTTTCTTAGATAGCATGTGTTGTTATTTGAATTAAATATGTCCTAACTGTAAATTACTTTAAATTTCCTTTAGTAACAAGGTCAGTTAAGAAAATATTACCATTATAATGCAATGAACAGTAATACAATAAGCATAATTATTGTTAGGACTCAAATATTAATACAAAATTTAAAGAGTCTAACAAATATTAGACTTGCCTTTCTAAATAGCCCAAATACTCCAATTGAGAACATACTTGGTTTAGTGAGATATTTTTAAAGCATCTGTCTAGGTATTTTTGTATATTAGTGTCACTGGAAAAAGAAAAAAATTTTAATCATCATCCCAACTATAGGATGATTAAGTGAGGAATATAATCATGAATTTAAAGTAGAATTACACTTTCTAACATGAAAATATGTAACAAACATAATCCTGATGAGAAGATAAATATGAAAAGACACAGTACGGCAATATTCATGTTATCATTTGAAAGAATAACTTCATACAATGCCACATCATGCCGAGGGCTGAAAACACGGAAAATGAACACGTGAGGAAATGGACTAGAATGGTCCCCACTACTCTCTCTGGCAGAGAAAGGACGCGAGGAGATAAAGCTGGGGAGAGGTACATAGAAAGCTTTGGCTGGGCTGATACCATCTTATTTTTCAAACTGGATAGATAATGCATAAGTATATACTTCTACGGTTATACACCATGCCTCTTCATGTTTCAACATTTTAAAACAATTTGTTATTATGGTGTGTGTGTGTGTGTGTGTGTGTGTGTGTGTGTGTGTGTGTGAGTGCAAGTGTGCCACAGTACACATGTGGAGGTCAGAGGACAATCTGTGAGAATCAGTTTTCTCCTTTAACTGTGGACTCTGCAGATAGAACTGTAAGCATCACACTTATGAAGGAAGAGCCTTTACCTGCTGAACCGTTTCACCAACCCCCTTTTCAATAGTTCTTAATAAATGTGTATCTTGTACTTTAATTTCAATGATTTAATTATCCATATTAATAATGTGTATAAATGGCTGTTCATAAATAAATTTATGACCAATTTTAATGATTCGACATCAAAATGCTTTTCAAGTTTTTTTTTTAATTATTGTGTTGTGTGTAGGTCTACATGAGTTTTTGTGTGTCACGTACATACATACAAAGAGTTCACAGAAGCTAAAAGAGGGCATCAGATCTCTTGGAACTAGTTACAGGTTGTAGCGTGTTGCTTGAAGTGGGTGCTAGGAACCAAAAACAGGTTCTCTTCGAGAACACTACATGCTCCTAACTGTTGAGTCATCTCTCCTAGATGACTAAATTTCTTTACTATAAAAAAGGCTTAATTAACAGAAGTATTGTATCTGGTAGACACAATAGGGGCTGAAATACATACTAGAGATACATGCAGTATGATACCACCTCATCCCTAAAGGAATTCTGTCTGGCTGGACAAACAGACCTGTTAGTAAATAAGCAGAATACAGTAAGACTTGATTAAGAGGTGTGTTACAATGTGTTAAGGAAGTACACAGGAAGGAACCACTAAATGTGCCTATAAGAAGTATTGAAATGGCTTGTCCTGGTAGAAAACATTATATGAAAGGATATTGAACTATAACAAAGAAAGAAATTACAACATAAACTCTTATTACCTAAGCCTAAGCTCTTGTAAATACTGCTGCATAATTTAAAATCCAATCTTTTCAATCAAGTCATAAAATAGTTAAAAAGAAAGTAAAACTTACAAAAAGGCATAAGGTTAAAATACATGCATGTATGTTTTCAATGACTGTTAGAATATTTTTCAAAGTTTTATTAGTTCTTTGAGATTTTCAAACAACATATTTTCATCATATATACCCTTCTCTCCACTTCTGCCAGATCCATCCTTCCTTCTCTACCCACCCAACTTTGTGTCCTCTATTTTTCCAAATACCTAAAGAACATTTTGTGTTGTTCATATACTTCACTGGAGTGTGGTCAATCAACCAGGACCCACACCCTTAAAGAAAACTGACTCTCCCTCTCTTAGCAGCCATCAATTGCCAATAGCTCCTTAGCAAAAGGTAAACCTTTGTCCCCACCTCCACCAAATGCTCCATGCTGAGATTTTTGTGTGGCTTGTGGAGGCTGTCATAATCACTACAAGTTTATGTGTGCAATAGGCCTTCAGTGTTCAGAAAAGCTTGTTTCCTGTGTTAATCACCATTGAGTCACAGGACACAGAAAATAAACCCACATGGAAGCTACAGCTTTACTGGGTAAAGGGCTGGAAGGTGCTATGCACATTCCCAAGGACAATAGTGATCATCAGTCTTACCCAGTTATTAACCTGGCAAGGGACAACAACCAGCCTGGCAAGACACAACCACCTGTACAACAGGGGCATGGCTGTGGAGTAACCAACATCTTGCTGATTAGAGTCAAGGCCAGCTCCACAAGATGATACTCATATCTTTCACTGTTACTGGGGCTAAGAACCTATGGGTTATAGGCACTA